AGAGAAAATCTGCTTCAATAAAAGCAACCATCCCATTATGATTTGATTAGACTTCTCCTTCTTTGGGGGCCCCCTCAAACATTTAGAGATGACAGTGGATCCTCATTCGTGAGCAGTGTTTTCATAAATTTTCAATCTTCAGATCTTGGAAAAGTGGGTCGTGACTGATGGAATTACGCTTGATATTTGACCTTTCTTGTTGCTGGATCCCTACTGTCGCCAAAGTCAATTGGATATTCTCATGTGATTATCTGGAAGAATGTGCTCTGGTCACTGTGGTTATTGTGCCATGCTGTTGGCCCCTGTACCTGAGCAGTTCAACTTCTAAATCTATCATTTTACTTGGGAGGCCAATGGAATGTTTAGGTTTAGCAATCTGTTACTGCATCGGAAACAGCTGCTGCCAGTATCCATATTGCCAAAGTTTCTGCAGAACTTACAACAGCAGAAATTAATGATCTAAAGAAGGTGCAGAAACTGCAGCGTGAAAGATCTGAACAATTTATATGTTATAATGACAGATTACTTAACTAGCAAGTTCTAAATTGGAACGGGAAAGCCCTGGATTGCTGGTTTTCTTCAGCTGTTTACTGAAGATGCTAGTAGGATAAGTATTGTTTGAAGACCATTTACTTAAAATTGGCTTGAATTAGGACCTTCAGAAGGCTTATCAGTCGTCAGTGTAGAACTTCCAAATTCAGTGAAACATGAATTTGAGTGCACCGTAGACTGCACCAACACAAAATTGGCTACATATGTTTGAGGGGCATGCATGCCCCTATGTGTGTATACCCTGATAGCTGTCTAAGTCTTTGATATTGTTGAAAATGTTGGACAGTGATGTGTGTTAACTACATTAATTTTTTTTTTTTGTTCAGTGCTACTCTCCTGCATGTTATTAGATAATATGTGCTTAAGACCGATCCCAGAAATTCTGTAGTCAGACTGATGGTGTATGATTAGAGAAATATATCACCCAGATTTGTGGCAGTTGATGGTAATTAATGCTGAAAAACCTTACATTTCTAAGCAGAAATGTATCCGGCAACTGCCTTAAGGAGCTCAAATGAATTGATTTAAGGGTATGGTGGCTATAGTATCAGAGCTGGGAAGTTAAAAAGGTGGAGTGTTCAAGTGCCACTCTAGGATTTCAGCATAAAAAATCAAAGATGACGCTCTAATGTACCGGTGAGGGAGTGATATAATGTTGCAGATTCCGTTCGTTGTTCATGAGATGTTAAACTGAGGCCCTATCTTTTCCCTAAGGTAGATGAAAAAGGTGCAAAGCTGTTTTATGAAGAAATCAGTTTCCTACCCAGTCTTTATCCCTTAACTACTGACACCAAATTAGATTATCTGTCCATTGCCATATGACTGTGGGAACCTTGCAAATTGGCCGTTATGTATCATACATTTCAACAATACCACTGTAAAACACTTCCACCCCTGGTCCATTTTGGAAAGTAACAAGTACCTACTTTTAAAAAAAATCTTAATTTTAAATACATTTTGATTTTAAGGGGGAGGGATGTTATGTGTTTGTGTAAGTATGACGGACTGTCACTTTGAGTCCAATTATGTGACATAACGATTATATCATTGGCCATTTTGAGCATGAAAACAGTTAATTCAACTTTGCAGCCTATAGAATAAACATCTCCATAATAAAGCTCCTGCTGTTAAAACACTTTGGCCTCATGGTCCTTCCAAGAGAGTAACAAGTACTTACTTTTAAAAAAATCTCATTTTTGGCTCTGAATGTAACCTGCTGTGATTCTGTGGTTGTGAGAGATACTGTACAAATGTGTCATTATCTCAACCAGTCCAAATTTCATTACATCTTTGTGTAATAAGGTACCCAAAACTACATCAAGTACTGCAGCTCTAGCCTGGCCAGATTCTTTATCACTTCTTTGCATTTGTATTTGTTGTTTCATGTGCTAACTGGGCATGTTTGCAAAAAAGCAGCGTAAATGTTTGGTCAACATGAAGCTTATTTCGTTTTTGATTAGATGAAGAATGTGGTGATGATCTGAGGTCTTAAACATGTTAACAAACAAATAGCAAAAGTATTTTCAGATTGGAGTGTATTTTATACCTATCTCTTGGAAGTGAATCGTCAGTTTTATGACTAATGTGGCTAATGTTAACTTTGTTACCTGGTAGGTGTGAATTTGCTGAAGCTTTTCATCATACACTCATCAGGACATTTTGCAAGAATACAAATTCAAGGGGAATATCAATGTTTATACTGTATGGGAGGAAAGTGCTAATTAGTTGGCAAGGTGCCTCTGATAGATGCATTGCCATAGTTAAAGGCACTGTTGCTGCTGATTGACAGCATCCAGTAATGCAGTATAAATGTTAGTGTTCCATTTGAATTTGCATTCTTGTAAAATGTCTTGACGAAAGCAAGATCTTTTGGTCAAACCTTGGACAAATTGTGCCTGTTTTTAAAGCAGTGCTTGAGGTTGGAATTGTGGCAGTCATGGTGGCATTCTTTTTGTGCTGTAGATTTCTTAAAGTTAATAACTTTGTTAATATTCAATTTGTAACCAATCCCAAAATCTGGGTTCTTATATTACCATAGGTTAGATTACCTCAGCAAAGGTGGGACTTGGGTCTGTTGGAAGTTGAATTCAAGTCTCCAGAGATTGAGACAGGAATAAACAAGATTACCTCTTGTAACCCCTACTTAATGGTTTCGGTTAGAAGTATGTGGAAATTGATGCTGAAGAAGTCAGGATTTAATCCGCTCAATCATGTTTTATATGGTTCTACTGCAGTTTTGAAAAAAAAATTGAAGTACAAAATGATAGTTTGCTGTGAGAGCGTATTTTGGTTTATTTTGCATAATTTTCATTACAGTTGAATGCTGTAGAATTATTGTTAAACTTGGGTAATATCTGTTTATGATTGTTTAAAATCAGGTCAGCATTTACTTTTATGCTCTCACTGGAAATATAACTGATTTAACTGAATTAACAGGCAGCCTGATGGTTCCTGTTAGTCATGCCTTTCAAAAATACGTGGAGTTCTTCCAGTTACTGTTATAATTACAGACCTGTCTACATGTTGCTAAGCTACAAAATTCTTTAGACAGTCGAAAGTTTTGGCTTACTATAGGACTAACATGAGCTTGCTCTAAAATATCTCTGAAATTTTCAAAGCTTTTTAAAAAAAATTGTGTTGAGGAGTGCGGTATTATTGGATACCGTGCTTTTCTGAAGAGGCAGATATTGCTTCCCAATGTATTTGGATTTTGGGGGTTCTTCATTATTTGGGTAGTTCATGCATTGAATCTTATTTATAAGGAGTCACTGGCTGTGTATATGACAATTTGAAATGATGTAAGTGAATGGAATTTGCACCATGCTTCAACTGTACTTGTACTTTTGTTTATGTGTACTTTCTTGTTTATACATCTTTCTGACTTTGAACTATTAAGGCTCTGAAAGCGTCACGTCAACTGGAGAAATACTGACCATTGTGTTTCCAGGCAGACATTGGGAAAGACATCAAAGATAGGCATAAGAATTATCGGCGTCAGTGTAATTATAAAATCAACTTTAATTTCTAGTGCTGTCTGCCATCATCTTTGTTATCAAATTTACCCACTTACTGGTTAACAGACAAAAATAATCAATTCTCTTAAGCCAAGTTTCTCTTGTGCAAGTAATGCAGATGAAATCCTTTTGATATTAGCACATTTATTAACATGTTGCTAAACTTGGTCTGAATCTTTTTGTGCACGCTTAGCTAATGTGGAATACGTGTTTGCAGCCTTTGGGTAAAGATTATTTCAGGGATCCAGCAGCTCTGCTAATCTGCCTGCACCATTTGCTGAAATGTTGTGATGTTGGAAAACAAAATAGATCTTGATCTATATGCCTTACAGTAATGTATGTTTGTTTAGAATTTGACTTGAATGTTTTTGTTGTAGTTTGTCCATTAATGGCCTTATTCCAGCATTTTTGCACCATTCAAAAGGGGTAACAAGTTCCAAATTTTCTGGATTTTATAATGTTGCTCGACCATTTTTCAAATATAAATGTTACATTCAGCATTGAAGCCAGAGAGATTTCTTAGATCGTGATGGAAAGCAGTATTGAATTCAGTCAGGTGCTTAATGCACCACAATTTCAAATTAGCTGAATTTTTAACAGATGTACTTTATATATAGTCGCACGTGAAACCCTTGTTATGTTACTATTATTCAGTTCTTCATGGTTTATTTATTTTTGGTTCCTGCGTGTAATATGCCTGCAACAAAATGTATATTTATTTAATATTCCTTTGAAACTTTAATCTATAATCCTGCTGATTGCTCTCGATCTGTACATTGCCAGGTGTTGTGTTGAACTAGTTTATTGAAATTTATTTGTTGACTTTATGTGATAGGTAAATTATTTCAAACTGTGTAACTACATGTGTGTAAATCAACAGTTAGCACAAGACATCTACATTTGATAGATTAGAGCACAAGGTATAGAAAATTGTGTGTTGTAATGATTTGGTGCAATTTGCAGTGTTGCCTCCAGTTTCTTCATACAGTGAAATTGTTTCTCAGAGAGTATTTATTTCAGTTATGTGTTTGTATCAGATGGAATAAGTGTAGTGAACTGGTTCAGAGTGAGAAAAGACTTGACTTAAATGCAAAGTCATTACGAGTCATCTAACATCCTGAACTGAGGTACATAAGGCCAAATGTTACTAATCTTCTGTTGTAATAGTTAATTGGGGGTCAGTTAGCTCAGCCTGTTTGTGGTGCCAAGTAATGTCAACAGCAATTCCTGCACTAGCTGAAGTTACCATGAAGGACTGTCCTCCTTAACCTGTCCCCCTGTCTGAGGCGTGGTGACCCTCAGATTAAACTACCACCAGTTGTGTGTCTCTCTCTAATGAGAGCGCAGCTTTATGGTCTGATAGAACTATGGCGATTTTACCTTTCTCTACATGCAGCCTAAGCCAGAACAGTTAATAAGATATGTATTAACTTCATTACAACATTTGGGTAACTGAACATATTGATACATTTGACCTGCTAATCTTAAAAGAGAAAAAGAAAATGGACTGAGGAAGTGACCACATCTTTAAGATGACTTCAACAGAAAGGACTTTTCAGCTGCTATTAGAGAATTACAGGTAAAAAGAATTTTCAGAGATTATGTTAATCAAACAATTAAAATTGATACATTTTTAAGAAAATTTTGATCAAAATTCTAGCATTACTGAGGAGTGTTCACACTGTACAACATAGCACTTTGGCTTTGCTAGATGTTCTATGTGATAAAAAGCCAGTCAGATTTGCATTCATAAGTACAAAATTGTTTGGAAAAGGTTTGGACAGAGCAGTTTTGATACTTATGGAGTGTAATCCAAGAAAAAGCACAAGTATGAAAAGTAGTCTGCCTTCAAATTAAAAGCGAACACATTCCTGCAGCTCACTGAAGATGTACCCTACAAGAAAATCTTACACATCGATGAAAACTGATAAAAGATTGTGCATACATTGTAATATACAAAGACAACCATTTATACTTGTATGTGCTACCTGATTCTGTAGGTTGTGCTAACCTACTTAAGGTTCATTTTTGACAAGTAGCTATTACAATCCTTGATGTTGCTGTTCAGTAAAATTGAAATCAGTAGAACTGCTTTACTGTGATTGAGTTATAAATTACTAAACTGCATGTAGGAAGGCTCTGATACTTTAATGCTGAGACAGAGTTATTTCATATTTTTCTGAAAGTGCTGTTGTAATTCTGAAGCAATTATTCTTCATTTTCACAATTGTAACATCCTCGATTGCATGGAGGTATGAAATCAAGTAGGGTTTTAATAATATATCAAATCTTCCTTAATGACTGTGTGGCACGCCATGTTCTGTATTCTTGCAGCTGGCCAAACTGTATCTTTTTAATTTAGCTCTGTTTTTGCTAGACAGCTTGAGCTGGGTTAAGTGTCATCATAAAATTCTAAACTGAAATACCAGTTTGATTTCCCTATACATAGAGATAACTATCAAAACTCCGATCTGTGTAGCACCAAACTTGAAAATGTCTTATTGTTGAGAAGGGTACCTTTAAAAGCCTCCACCTTTGATGGGATTAAATGAATAATTGTTTAATTAGATTTTATTGTCATGTGTGCCCGTGTACAGTAAAAAGTCTACAAGTCGCCATTCTCCGGTGCCATCATAGAATGCAAAAGACAAGATTAAAAAAAAAGCAGAAATAAACAGCCAAAAGAAAAGGAAATGTCCAGATCATTCCTCTCCCTCTGCCATGAATCTTTGCTGCCAGAAAAACAAAGCCCATTCCACAGTCTGTGAGCACTCAAGTGCCCGAGTTCCCACATGCTGCGGCAGCTGGATGCCACTGCCTTTGCTGTCAGGCACCTGGGCCCAGCAATGTCCTGGAGTTACACTGCTGCCGCTGGAACCATGTTGCCATTCTTTACCACTGTCTTGCCTCCACCGACATGTCACTGCCATGAGTCTGCGCTGGGCCAATCTTACCAATGCAGCTGGTGCTGAAGCCGCTGGATCCCAAACTGGGCCTATACTCGACGTTGGGCCTACCACGCTGAAGCAGCCACTGCCTCGTTCTGGCTTACATTGTTGCTGCCTCCTGGGACTGCCATTTCAGGGAAGAAACTGCTCCTGCCGCTGCCAACAGTCTGAAGCGTCTGATGCTGCAGAAAAGGAAGAAAAGAAAGAGAGCAAAAAGAAAAGAGAGGCAGACAGAAGCGCATGATCCCAGGCTCAGGGCCTAGCACTGAATGCTGCCACTTTGCTGCCACCATCTTGGAAATGCAGCAAGACCTGGTCAACATTCAGCTTGGTATGATAAATAGGTAAGGACCAGAGTATCTGTTTCAGTAAAATAAAAAACTGCGGATGCTGAAAATCTGAAATAAAAGCAGAAGTTGCTGGAGAAACTCAGCAGGTCTGGCAGCATCTGTAGAGGCAGAAATTGAGAGGAAATCTTGAGTCAATTTGTGAAAGTTTAAAGTTAAACCATCTGTTGTCATCACGTTTTTCTCGGGATAATTTGTCCATGTCCTAACTTTAATGAGGGGCTGTATATTAGAAGCATTGTCACCTGCTTGAATTTGTTCTTCAGCACTCAGCACGCTGCTTTAGACACTTACTTTGGGGCATATGAATTTTGGTTGAATTTGCATCCTTTTATTTGTGAACTTTGCATACCATTCTCTCCAAGTATTTGTATTTGTGCCCTATCATTTTCATTTAACCTCATTTAAAACCTAAAATGCAATTCAGTTTTTTTAAGCATCACATATCTGTAGGATTGCTTAAAGCAAGACCTAGTTTGTGACAATCAATTGGGAAATTTCTATGCCCTTGAGATTTTACTATCTTAATTCCTTCAGTTAAGATGTTCCTTTCTTAACAAGGATAAAAGGCATAATTGTAGCCACTCAGAGTTTGTGGTAGATTTGCAAGTTACTCATAGGGAAGTGGTGCAAGCCTGGAACATGCCAGGAGAAAATCTGCATCTAAATACTTTGTTTACTTTCTATGTATGGTGCTGGAAAAGCAAGGCTGCAGTTGCATGCTGCACCTATTCCTCTTTTAACCTTCTTTAAACTTGTCCTGTTCAGTCATGTGACTTACTGAAGAAGTAATTGTTTTATTGTGTGCTCTCCCTTCTCTGACAGTTCCTGGCTAAACAGATCCACTGAGGCTCAGTGTTACAAATTCTTCTGTTGCCTTTGTTGTTCAAGAATATTGTTTTCAGTGGTTAAGTGTAAAAGGATTTTCAACTAGTTTCTTCCAATTTCAGTCTAATGTTCTGGTTCCCCATAGAAAGCTGGACTGCTGCCAACTCATCTGATTCAGTGCTTAGATAACCACAAACAATAAACTGAAATGTTTGCTTGCCACCTAAAGTTTTGATCACTGCGCTTCAGCATCTGTTCAAATGCTGACAGCTGTTACCAATGGAAGAGCAAAGATATATTGCATTGCAAAAATATCAATAAAATTTTCCTCAATGAGTATTTAATAAGATGTGTTTTAAAAGTATATACCTTTTAAATTAGTTTATTCAAAAACTAGTATAGTTATAGAGTTAGACAGCATGGAAACAGACCCTTCGGTCCAACTCATCTGCACTGACCGGATATCCCAATCCGACCTAGTCCATTAGTGTTTTGTCTTTGTGAGGGATATACCACTTGAATGAGAAATTTCAGCATGTTATCAGCTTACAGTGTGGATATTATTTTGTGTTTACACATTGATTTAATGATTGTGATCATTTTTCTTGGAAAACTAATGCTATATGGTGAAGGCATTAAAATATCTATCATGATAAAATACATCTAAACATCACGTGGATTTCCACAAAATTATTTGATGAGCCAAATATTGCTGATAGAACATCTCCAGGTGTGCTCCATCAGACATTTTTGGAACCGATACTCATCCGGTACTGATTCCTGTGGCACTTCACTAGTTACAAATTGCCATGCTGAAAATGCATCCTTTATCCAGACTTAATGTCTTCTATTGGTTAGCCAATCTGCTATCCATGCTAATATACTACTTCATCATGGGCCTTTCTCTGATTAATTGGCTTTATATATGGTACCTTTATCAAATGCCATTTCGAAATCCAAATCTATTACATCTGGTTTCCCTTTATCTAGCCTGCTTGTTACCACCTCAAAGTATTGTAATAAATGTGTCAGGCATGATTTCACCTTCATAAAGCCATGCTGAATCTGCTTGATTATGTTATGTCTTTCTAAACACTCTTACTGTTGCATCTTTTATTATAGACTCTAGAATTTTCCCAATGACAGATGTTAAGCTAACTGGCCTATTTTTGTCTCCCCCAATTTTTGAATGAGGGTGTCACATTAGCAGTTTTGCAATCCTCTGGAGCTATTCCAGAATCTAAGGATTATTGGAAAAGGATTACTACGCATCCACCATATCTGTAGCTACTTTCTCTAAAATCCTAGGAATTCTGACAACCTTTAGTCTTAATTTCCTTTATACTTTTTATCTGATGATGATTATTGTCTTTATTTCCTCTCCTACTTTTGCCATTGGTTATTTATTATTTTTAACTGATACAAAATATTTCTTCAACTCTTCTGCCATTTCCTCGTTTCCATCGTTATTTTCCCAGATTTGTTGGCTAAGGAGCCCATGTTCATTTAGGCCTGTTTCTTGCTCTTTGTATATTTAAAGAAACAGTTACCATCAATTTTTTATCCCATTTCCTAGTTTTTCCTCATAGTTTATTTTCTTCCTCTTCAACTTTTTGGCCATCTCTTGTCGTTTAAAATTATTCCAAAACTCTGACTTACCACCAATGTTTATCACATTGTATTTTTTTTCATTCAGTTTACTACTTTGATTAACCATCACTGGCTTACCCCCTTTCTAGAATCCTCCTTCCTCATCTGGGATATAGCTTTGATGTTTGTCATGAACTAATTTCTTAAACACCTGCCACTAGTCATCTACGGTTTTGTCTGCTGAATTTCTTCCCCAGTCCATTCCACCCACCTTTGCCCTCTTCTTTACGTAATTACAATTAATTTTCTCACAATTGTTTCTGACACAAGTTTCTTGCTGTCACACAGAATGCTAAATTCTACCATGTTATGGTCACTATTCCCTAGGGCTTTTTTACTCTGAGACCATTTACTAAATCTGCCTCTTATACCCCGCTTTTGAATAAGTCATCCCAGTGATATAGCTTGTGTGTTTTTTTTCTGAAGCTTTAAAATTGAACAAATTTTCTGCTAAAATCATTTAATTTTTAAATCTGCATATAATAAATAATATTGTAAGTTGTTATTGTGGTGTTAATATGAGAACAGCCGTAATTTTAGATTTACATGCTCCAGACAGCATCCAACATCAGTTTGGTGCAGAGCTAATGTCTTTTGAAATTAAGAAATTAGTAATGTGTATATTTAAATAGCCAGTGACAATAAGTCCACACACGTGTTCAAAATATGACCAAATACTTCCTTTTTATCTCCAGTGATACATGAATGAAAGGTTTGCATGGTATCTTGGATAGTTTTGTTAACACATTCACAGTTGTAATGACTACACTATACGTGTTATGCAAGAAATTACAGTTCATTGTTAAGCTGTATTGATTGTACATAACAGAAGATGTATTGCTGAAAAGAGAGAGATGTTGCCAAAATTTTCTTTTGGTTGCACTAATTGGAACAAACACAAGAATGTCCTCATGAGTGCAAATAAAAATAATTGGCAACATGTTTTTTATTGCAGAGAAAAATGTTTAATGTTAGCTTTAATTTGCAGTCTTCCACTTTTGAGGGAAAGACTGTACTGTACCCAATATCAGGTGACTTAGCTTTGCAGACTAAGTACAACTATATCCCGTGCTCCCTTCTTAAATGTGTATTCGCACATTGCTAATCAGAAGAAATTGTTCTAGTTAATCCATAATACTGTCAATGGGCTAATCTATAAGTCAAAGATTTAATGAATCACAGCTGAGATAACTTCGCAGAGGCTGTATCCTGTCACCAGGTTACACTTTGGTAAGTACAGTGCTTGACACTAATCCGGCTTCCTCAGAGCCAGCTCTGAGTGGATAGAACCTCTGACATTCCTGTTTATATCTGTCAGCTAGGGCTCCCTGATTGGGTCCAATCAGGAAAATCATGCTCTATAAGGTCCACCTGGCTGACCTTGTTACAGTCACTGCAACAGCCTGTGTCATACTTATAGAACGACATGTGAAAAAATTGTTTTGAAAGTCCTCCACTGTTCCTCAATTGACCCACCATAAAGTTTTTGCCTCCATTCTACCTTAGCTAATTCCTTCCTCATTCCTTCATAGTCTCCTTTGTTTAAGCACAGGACACAGGTACTGGATTTAACCTTCTCACACTCCATCTGTATTTTAAATTCGACCATACTGTTGACCACAGTGCTCAGCAGAAGTATATTCCAGTGATAAGGAAGAACTGTAGGAAAAGAGAGAGCCAGCCATGGATGTCTAAGGAAATAAAGGAAAGTATCAGATTGAAAAAAAACACATACAAAAAAGCAAAGAGTAGTGGGAAACGAGTAGACTGGGAAATCTTTAAAGGCCAACAGAAAGCCATAAAAAAAGTTATAAAGAAAAGTAAGGTAGATTATGAGAGTAAACTAGCTCCGAATATAAAAACAGGCAGCAAAAGTTTCTATAAATATGTAAATCGTAAAAGAGTGGCGAAGGTAAACATTGGTCCTTTAGAGGATGAGAAGGCCAATTTAGTAACTAGGAATGAGGAAATAGCCGAGACATTAAACAGTTATTTCGTGTCGGTCTTCACAGTGGAAGACAGAAATAACATGCAGAAAACTAATGGCAAGAAGGTTATAGCAGGTGAGGACCTAAAAACTATCATTATCACTAAGGAGGCAGTGCTGGGCAAGCTAATGGGGCTAAAGGTAGACAAGTCTCCTGGCCCTGATGAAATGCATCCCAGAGTACTAAAAGAGGTGATGGGGGAAATAGCAAATGCACTAGTAATTATTTACCAAAATTCACTGCACTCTGGGGTGGTTCCCGCAGATTGGAAAACAGCCAATGTGACGCCACTGTTTAAAAAAGGAAGTAGACAAAAAGCAGGTAACTATAGGCCAGTTAGCTTAATTTCGGTAGTGGGGAAAATGCTTGAATCTATCATTAAGGAAGAAATAGCAAGACATCTGGATATAAATTGTCCCATTAGGAACACCCAGCATGGGTTCATGAAGGGTAGGTCATGTTTAACTAATTTGGTGGAATTCTTTGAGGACATTACTTGCATGGTGGACAATGCGGAACCTGTGGATGTGGTGTATCTGGATTTCCAGAAGGCATTTGACAAGGTGCCACACCAAAGGCTGCTACATAAGGTAAAGTTGCACGGTATTACAAGTAATGTATTGGCATGGATAGAGGATTGGTTGACCAGTAGAAAGCAAAGAGTAGGGGTAAATGGTTGTTTTTCTGTTGGCGGTCAGTGGCTAGTGGTGTGCCTCAGGGATCAGTATTGGGACCTCAATTGTTTACAATTTACATAGATGATTTGGAGTTGGGGACTAAGTGTGGTGTGTAAAAATTTGCAGATGACACTAAGGTGAGTGGTAGAGCAAAGTGTGCAGAAGACACTGAAAGTCTGCAGAGGGCTATAGATAGTCTAAGTGAGTGGGCAAAGGTCTGGCAGATGGAGTACAATGTTGATAAGTGTGAGGTCATCCATTTTGGTAGGAATAACAGCAAAATGGACTATGTTTTAAATGGTAAAAAATTGCAGCACGCTGCTGTGCAAAGGGCCTTGGGTGTCCTTGTGCATGAATCTGGAGTACTTGTGCAGTTTTGGTCTCCTTACTTGAGAAGAGATATACTAGCACTGGAGGGGGTGCAGAGGAGATTCACTCGGTTGATTCCAGGGTTGAGAGGGTTGGATTATGCGGAGAGACTGAGTAGACTGGGATTATACTCATTGGAATTCAGAAGAATGAGGGGAGATCTTATGGAAACATATAAGATTATGAAGGGAATAGATAAAGTGGAGGCAGGGAGGTTGTTTCCGCTAGCAGGTGAAACTAGGACTAGAGGGCATTGCCTCAAAATAAAGGGAAGCAGATGTAGGACTGAGGTCAGGAGGAACTTCTTCACCCAAAGGGTTGTGAATCTATGGAATTCCCTGCCCAGTGAAGTGGTTGAAGCTACCTCACTGAATGTTTTTAAGGCAAGGCTAGATAAATTTTTGAACAGTAAAGGAATTGAGGGTTGTGGTGAGTGGGTGGGCAAGTGGACCTGAGTCTCAAAGATCAGCCATGATCTTATTAAATGGTGGGGCAGGCTCAAGGGGCCAGATGGCCTACTCCTGCTCCTAGTTCTTATGTTCTTATGTGGTTAAATGACCATGTTTGTGGCACAACAGAGTTGTAATAGAGCCAACTTGATAATTACTGTTCTGGATTGGCATAGTCATTTTGAATGGATAATGCAGTGGTTTGACAAATGTTTTGTTAAGTTAGTGTTAAGTGGTCTTTTCTGATGCCAATGATAAGCATTGTGGGAGGGGTTCAAGAAGGTAGGTATTAAAAACTGCTAAAATGAAAGAAATGCAGATGCTATAAATCAGAAACAAAAACAGAAATTGCTGGAAAAGCTCAGTAGGTCTGACAGCATCTGTGGAGAGAAATCAGAGTTAATGTTTCAGTTCAAGTGACCCTTCTTCAGAACTCAATTAATTAAATTGTGTTGCTTCGCTACTGTGATCAGAATCATTTAATGAAGACTTAATGTGGTGCATTCTCCACTTTTCAGTCTGGTTCTTACAGCTACTGTCTTGTTTGACAATCAAAAAACAGCATAAAATAAGATTATAGGTTTGTTAGTAATGGAGATTGGAGGAACAAAACAGAGCTTTTGCGCCATCCACTGCCGCATGTCTCAACCTCTGTGCTGTCTGTTATGCAACTATGCCTCAGTCATTCCCTGTTTTTGCTGCCCTTTAACTTTTCAATCTCAAAAAATCTCTGTAGTTATTCAGTTCTGATCAAATAGTTGAAATACTGACATTTTCTTGATGTCACTTTTAGAGGTCTTTTACCTCTCATCATTTGTCTTTATCGTCTGTACGTAGAATTTTAAGCATAAATTTAGCAGCTGGGTCAAAGACCTCTATTTTCTTCACAGATCTTTACATATCGACCAGGTTTCTGAGGCATACAGGAATATGGACAGAGTGTAGCATCATCTTAGTTTCTTCCCCCCACCCCTGGTTATGAACATGAGTTTTCTTGTCAACACATCCATTAATTATTCTAAGCATGCAGGAGACATCAATAACCTGTCAATGCTTTTAGGTGTCCATGCTGTTGAGCACGGGTAACAGAACTGCACTTCTGCCTGCTGCAGTTATTTGAGAATTTGGCGGCTTTGGAATATCTGCAGACTATAATCTGTTCACATGATTAATCAGCTGATTAGTATGGCATTAAAACTTGTACAGAATGACTAATTTTGCTAACCTTGAGATGTTAGTGTCTGCACCTGCAAGCAGTGTTTCCACTTTGAGCCCCAGGGTGCCTGGGTTGAGTCCCAATCCAAAACTGTAACCTGCAATGTTGACTGATACTTGATTGCAGTTCTGAAGGAGAGCCACACTATTAATTCCATATCTTCCTTCCCAAAGTTGATGAAAAAGACCTCAAAGAAGAATAAGGAAGCTCTTGCTCTGTCCTAGTCGGCATTCCTGAAACCATGTCATTAAAATAGATTATCTTGTTGTTTAATATATTTCTGAAATCTTGTTGTACGCTAGTTGGCTTCCACGTTGCATTATATTCGAGCAGTAATTGTACATCAAAAAGTACTTTAACATAGTGGAAGATTTTTATGTCTAAAGTTGCAGTCGTCTTTTACAGGATCTACCTACAGTGTGCTGTCAACAATGCCTTCTGACTCAGAAAGTAGCAGCTCCCTCAGCAGTATTGGTAAGTTCTCACTCCTTCTCTGTGATACAGTCCAGATCCTACTCTTTTACTCAGATACTTTACCTTTATTAAATGCAAACCAAGTACAGACATATGAAAAGAAGGGTGTGAAAGACCCATCCATCAGACAGTGCAGCCCTGTGTGTTGTAATCCTACTTTTAATGATGCAGCTGTTCAGAGAAACAAAAGCAATCTTGGACAATCTAGGACAAGCTGTGGGAAATTCCTTTCCAACTCTAAAACAGCTCCAGGAAACCACAGTTGTTGATGATGTATCACTATCTAAACTCCCTATTGCGTAGCCTCTACAATAGATAAATGTGCTGTTTCCTCAATAACTTGTCAAGCTCTGTTTAAAGAACAGTTTCATTCCCACTGCATGCAATGATTATTTGTTTCAGATGGCAGTACTTTACAAAAGTAAGTAGTTCCTTGCTTCTAACATAACTCCATGCCTATATATTATTTTAGGTGTGACCTTTGGTCTTACCCTATGTATTTAAAATAACCAATCAAATTTGGAAGGACTTGAAGATTCTGCACATAATACAGAACAAATTTACTAGAATTCTTCCAGTGATAAGTGGTTGTGATTTAAGAACATTGGAGTAATTGGTATTATTTTGCTGAGGGTAGAGACGTTTGGGAACAGATGTAATAGAGGTATTCAAAATCATGAAGGATTTCGATAGAATAAATGAGGCAAAATGTTTTCCAATGAATGAAGGATAATAATCAAATCTTATAAATCTGAGGTGGTGATTGACAAAAGAACCAGAGACAGCATAAATAAAACCTTTCCAGGTTTTTGGATTTTGAAAGCAGTATTTGGTTATGTAGTACATGTACATTCAGTAGTGGCCTCCACAAGGGAATTACATGAGTATTGAAAAAGAAATAAATTGTAGAGATATGAGAAATTAATGGAGAGTGGAACAGACTGGATTGCTCTTCAGCCCAGGCTCATTGGTCTAAATGGCCTCCAATGTACTAGATGATTCTGTGAGCTGCAGTTAATCATTTAAGTCTCAACGCACCTATCTATAAAACAATTCTGTTTTAAATTCAATTCAATTTCTGAAGAAGGATTTAGGCCCAAAACGTCAGCTTTCCTGCTCCTCTGATGCTGCTTGGCCTGCTGTGTTCATCCAGCTCTACACCTTGTTATCTCAGATTCTCCAGCATCTGCAGTTCCTACTATCTCTGAAACAAATGGTTTTGGGAATGGACTGGGATTTGGGTCCAAGTGAAGCACTCCAAATTGTAAAATTCTGTGATGTTGTGATTTTATTTGTGGAAGATGGAACTGCCAAAATGAACTCGTCACAAAATATTTTGACAATTTTTTTTGTTGAAAAAATGATATCTTGAAATATATACAGTTGTGTCCTATAGAATTAAAATTTTTCGTAGTTTCCGAAGCAGCTAACCCTTGTTAGCAAATGCATAACATAACAGTTTAGACATTAGATGATGTGATCAAACTAAAATCTGATGAAACTTGTGTTGAAAATCAAGGCAATCAACAACTAGGTTTTGGGTTGAGGACAGGGGAGGGAATGCCCAGGACAATGGAGGGAAAAAAAATTCTTGTAGGACTTAGGACTGTCCTATCAAATCAAAAGAAGGAAAAAGGATTTACCTTATTAGCATTCTGGTACTGATTGTTTTTTCTTCCTGGTTAGTCCTGGTGGAAAAATCGCAATTTTCAGTTTAAGCCAATTGTTTTCTAAAAAGAAACGTCTGATCCTGATGATGTGCTCAGGTCCGGTTTAGAAAATAAGTTAAAATTGTAGCCCTCAAGAATAATACAAGACGTTACAGGTGAGTGCCATAAATGATTTTAACTGCTCACTAATTTTCTACCAAGCCAAGGTTAAAATCACTCTTAAATGTTCTTTCAGTAAATGATTTGTGTTTATTTTCAGTTAATTTTGATTTTGGAAATCATAACACGGATTGATTTTTCCTTAAATAGGTACAGGTACATCTGGGAAAGCTGCTTCGCCTCCACCAATGCTCATGGATACCAGGCAGATGAGTGAGAAGTTAGAATCCATCGTATTTCAACTTCGACAGGTCACTCGGGAACGAGATGAGTTACGTAAACAGCTAGCTCTTTCTTCCCCTGGGTCTACATTTGATGATTGCAGGTATGAATCTTGAACTTTTATTTCACTGTACTTTAAGAAACTCCTTTAAAGCTTTTATAGGGTAACTTTGCTAAAGCAAATGTAACTCTTAATATCTTATGCTTGGTACAGAGAATTACATGTTCTACTATAACAGTTACGTTTGTAATATTGTGAGACTTGTTGATCAATTGTAAAGACAACAGCTTTTTATTTCTTTATTTGGACTGTGGACTAAAAAGGAAGATGCTACTTTAAACCAAGGAGATTGTGCATTTTTTTGCATATTACTAATATCATTAGTCCCCAGGTACTATTACTTGTAATACCTACTGGAATTCTATTTTGAGTGTCAGATTTTCTTGGAAAGTAGGAAAATGATATGCATGCTGAAGTCTCCACTGGATATAATGGGTGAAAATGGTTTTCAACATTTAGATCGATATTTCAAAAGATGTCATTTATGCTAACTAAATATATTCTGCATTGATACAGTGTATCATGGAAAAAAATGATGACCGAGAAATCAAATATTTACATTACAATTTTTAATGTATTTTCTCAAGGTCAACTTAAAATGTAAACACATTTTTAACAGGCAGATTTTCTCTTTTGGAGCTAGTTTTATTCAACTGGTACTGTTCTAGATAATAGGGAACAAAAGTTAGAACTGTCCCATTCAGGAGGAAAAGCAAGCAGCATTTCTTTATGTAAAGGGAGTAGAAATTCAAAGTTGTCTGTGGATATCGAGAGTCAATGAGAACTTTGAATACTGAGGTTGAGTAATTTTTATTGGTAAAGAATATTCAGCGATATAGAATTAAGGAAGGAAAGTGGGATTGAGGTGAGGATGAGCCATGATCTAATTGTTAAAGCTCAGAGTAACTCACTCCTCTTCCCAATGTTCCTTAATCCTGTGACTCCTTGATTGTGCAATCATTATTATCTTGTATCTGTGTCTCAACAGACCCAGCCCAAAACCGAGCCATGACTATGAGAGACTGAAGATGCAATGCATGAAAGCCATGTCAGATCTGCAGTCTCTGCAGAACCAACACACAAAAACACTTAAGAAATGTGAGGAGGCAGTCAAAGAAGCAGATTTTTATCAGTAAGTACATCAGCAGCAACTTATAGATTGCCCGTAACGTATCGAAACGTCCCAAGGAGCTTCAGAATTTCAAATTGAATTTCAAAACAAAGTGTGACTCTGAATCCTATAAGGAGATCTTTAAGATGCATTTGGTCTTAAACGAGGAAATTGAGATTGAGATTTTATGGTATTGCAGAACTTAGGGTCTAGGCATTTAAGGCACAGCCATCAACAGTGATATTATTAAAATCATGGATATTTAAAACATCTAAATAAAGGAGCATGAATTTGTAAATGGATTATGGGGCTGGAGGAAATTGGATACAGGATACAGTGAGATCAAGAAAGGATTTGAAAACTAGAATGACAATCCTATCATTATGGTCTTGCTTGACAATGAGGTAAGATAATTTAGGAGTGATGGGGTAACAGGCTGCAAGTTAAGAGATGGACTGTGACATTCTGTATGATTTCAAGTTTGCAGAGAGTAAAACATGAGGTTGATCAAGAGTGTGTTGAAATAATCAAACCTAGAGGTAACAAAGGTATTGGTGAGTTTCAATGGCAAATGAGTTGAGATGGTTGGAGTTAGGACAATATGATGATGGTGGAAATAGGTTGTCTTAGTGCGGACACGTGGTTGAAACTCATCTCCGGTTTAAATATGACCCAAGATTGCAAACAGTCTGATGGATACACGACAGCATGGTTACTTGCTGAGGTTTGCCATAACAAACCTTTGCTTTGGTTTTCTGCTGATGTCTCATTCGAGGAAACTTGTAATCCCAATTTGAAAATATCTAGCTGGTTGTGTGTCACAGCTTTTCATTAGAATCAGTGCAGGTGAAAACAATAATTGGGGTAGGGAACAGATTTTTAAGGTGACAGCTCTTATGGGGCAGCTGTGTACCAACTTCTAGGCAAGAAAGCCTGGGTTCAAGTCCTACCTCCTCTGGAAATGTGTCATAACAACTCAGAACTGGCTGATTAAATGAACTAAAATGCTAGTACAATGGCTGTTGTGGTGCAGTATTAGCAGCCCTGTCTCTGGGATAGGAGGGCTGGATTCTGGTTCCACCTGTTTCAGAGTTGTGTAATAATATCTGTGAACAGGTTGATTAAAAATTATCCAGGTGTTTTGAGTTGCGGGCCTGAACATTGAGCTACTCCCAGGAAGTAACAAGGCAATGAAGGAGCAGGCAGTCTTAATTAAAATCATTTTAACATTAGTGTATTCCCAACCATGTCGGAGGTTTCAGTGTATCTGCAGTAACCATATTATGTATTGAATCATTCCTTTTTTGATGAAAGTAGCAGTTAATTGTAATAAAATCAAATCTATTTTAAACTGCTTTAATCATTTACTGAATTCATTAAATAAATTTTATTCTAAGCCAGGAATTGAATATAAAGTTTCAAAACTTAGAGATTTAGAATCATAGAATCCCGACAGTGCGTAAAGAGGCCATTCAGCCCATCAAGTCATTGCTGACCCTCCAGAGAACATCCCACCCAGACCCATATCCTCACCCTATCCCTGTAACCCCACATCCACCTAGCCTGCACACCCCTGGACACTATGGGGCAATTTAGCAAGGCCAATCCACCTAGACTGCGTGAGGAAAGGAGAGCGTGCAGACTCTGCACATACAGTCACCCGAGGCTGGAATCAAGACCGATTCCATCCTGGTGCTGTGAGGCAGCAGTGCTAACCACTGAGCCGCTGGGCTGCCCTTTCTATATTTATATATTATGTATATTTCATTCTATGTTTAATAGAATAAAGTATATGTACAAAATAGCAGACCTTGAAAATTTTCTGAATTGCTAACAAGTAAATAATTCAGATGAAAAGCTTGGGGAGTAGTGACAGAAAAGTAAAAAAGATGTTAAATTAATTCAGTGGAATTAAATACATATTGAAAAAGCCTTCCTGCGGTATGAGATAAAATATGAGCAGAAGGGTTCTCTGGATGTGCAGCATTAAATGTGTATCGGTGTAAAGCTTCTGTGCACTGCAGTGGCACCATGAAATGTAAAGTAATATTTATCAGAGTGGAAAGACCCATGAAGAGAGAGACTGCTCCTGCAGACCATTGAAACAGATTCCTGGGTCTAGAATTGTATCTGAAAGAAATTAAGTATCAGGAAAAATTTGTGTGGTATTCCACAGATGGAAAATGTGGCAGCAAGTGGGTCACATTTTAGCCTACTTTACAATTTGCTCAATTCACTAGCTTATTTTGTGTCAGGCATGAAAACAACTACTTTAAAGTGGTTGGGGATATTTTTAAAAAAAAGTAGTGATGACTTGCTAACCTCCCATGTCTCATTTTCTATCATTGTGACTTAATTGATTCTTAGTAGAAATCATATCCAGGGTTGCTAGGTGATTAGCAAGTAAAGGAAATGCATTTAAAGAGGCAAATACGTTTTACTTCAATTTGTTCTTGGGAAACTAACAAGGCAGTGTTTATTGTCAATTCCTGGTTTTCTGAATGGCATTCAGAATCAAATACATAGTGTAAACTGTGTAAACCAAGCTGAGTAGTTTCCTTTTCACAAAAATACAACAGATTTCATCATATTGTTTTTCTAGTGCTGACTAACAAAGTAGCAAATTTGTCAGTTCAGTTTTGCAACTTGCCATGGTGGGAACCGAACTCTGGACTTTCAGTCCAGCGATATTTTTCATATAAAGTTATGAGTTGCCTTGGGTACAATGGAAATTCTATTGGATTAGTAAGAAGCAAACTTTTACAGTTTATTTAGGGGAGTGATGGCATAGTGGTATTGTTGTTGGACTAGTAATTCAGAGATCAAAGTAATACTCTGAGGATCTGGGTTTGAATCCCACCACGGCAAATTGTGGAATTTGTATTTTATAAATCTGTAATTAAAAGACTAATGAATGACTTTGAAAATGTTGTTAATTATCCTAAAATCCCATTTGGTTCACTAGTATCCTTTAGGGATGGAAGTTTGCTGTCCTCACCTAGTCCAGCCTATATATCACTCCAGATCCACCACAACGTGGTTAATTTAACTCATAACTGCCCACTGAAGTAGCCTAGCAAGCCACTCAGTAGTATTAAACGACTACAAAGTCTCATAGAAGCAAAACCAGTGGACCACCTGACACCAATATAAGCATCAGAAATGACAATGGCAAGCTCAGCTCTATCAACCAAAGTCCCCCTTATTATCATCTGGGGCCAGTGCCAAAATTAGAGAGCTGACTCATAGACAAGTCAAGCTAATAACTTGCTATAGTCATCCTCTCGGAATCATACCTTACAAATAATTTGCCAGACAGTAGCATCACATCCCTAGGTTGTCCTGCTGATGGGTCAGCGCAGTTTTGTTCTGTTAGGAGGGTGTTGCTCTGGACGTCTTCAAAGTCGACTCCAGATTCCATGAGGTTCTCATGGCATCAGGGAAAACATGAGCAAGGAAACCTCCTGCTGATTGTCACGTGTTTAGGTGATGAATCAGTAGTCTTCCACGTGGGAAACTTGGAAAACACCACTTGAAATAAGCGCTGAGGGTGGAAAGGGTGCAGAATATACTCTGGCTTGCGCACTCCAGTGTCTGCCAACAAGTGACTGGACATTGCCACTACTGATCGAGCTGATCAGGTCTTAAAGGACATAACCGCTAGACTGGATCTGTGGTGATACTGAGAGCACCAAGGAGAGGAGAAAATATTTACCTCATCCTCACCAATCTGCCTGCTCAAGGTGCTTCTTTTCATGTTAGTAGGAGTCACCACTGCATAGTCATTGTGGAGATGAAGTCCTGACTTCACACCAAGGATACCATCCATCGTGCTATTCAGTTCAGTCAACAACCTCAAGGATAGGCATATTCCCATTATACTAATAAGCCAGAGGCTCAACCCTGGTTCAATGAAGAGCGCAAGAGGGCTGTCAGAGCAGCAGCTGGCATACATAAACCTTGTGTTAATCTGGTGAAGGTGCTGAATAGGACAGTTTGTGCACCTAACAGCATATGCAGCAAGTGACAAACAGGGCTATCTGATTCCATCACCAAAAGATTAGATCCAAGCTCCCATCCCAATACATCAAGTCATGAATGGCAGTGACAATTAAGCAATTCACTGGAGGAGGAGCATCCGCAAATACCCCACCCTCAACAGTGGGGGATCTCGGCACATCACAACAAAAGGGAGCATTTTCAATAGTCTTCAGCCAGAAGTGCCAAGTCCATGGTCCACGTTGGCCTTCTCCAGTTGTCCCTAGCATCACATCTGCTGGTCAGCCAATTTGATTTACTCCTTGCGATATCAAGAAACAGCTGAAGACAATAGATACAGCAAAGGCTGTGGGCCTTGATTATATTCTGACTATAGTACTGAAGATACCCCTAAGCATACTGTCTCAGTTTGACTATAACACTGGCATTTACCTAACAATGTGGAAAATTGCCCAAGTGTGGCCTGTAAATGAAAACCAGGAAAAATCCACCCTGGTCAGTTACTACTTTATCTCATGATGGAAGGTGTCATCAACGCTGCTACCAGACATCATCTGTTTAGCAATAACCTACTCACTGATGTTTGGTGTACCTCAACAAATCATCTGACAAAAGTCTGCTGTACACTAGTGAGCCTGTTCAAAGGGTGTGCAGGAAATAAATTACCTCTTCAACATATTACTTGTTCTCTTCGCTATCCTCAATCAAATGGTCTCATTGAATGCACTGATTGTAGTGTGAAAACGATGATCATTAAAGATAAAGTGATTGGCCAAGAATTTTGGATACCTGTTTTAAATCTGTTTGCTACTCCTATATGAAGCCTCGATTGACAGCTCTTATTTTTGGAAGACAGCTCCACACAGTTCCTCTCTCCCATATTTTCATCGCCTAATCACTCGTGCGCATTGCTGGAAAGAAGGAAGAAAATTATGCAGGATCATGATCAATGAACAAACAGACACTTACTGAATCTTTGACTAGGGGAAACCATACAAAATCAAGATCTTCATACAAACGCAAGGATTCATGGAAAGATATTGTGACCTTGTGTCCAGTCTAAGTCTCATGGTATTATCATAGAAATGGCCAAGTTCTCCAAAGAAATGAATGATGCATCCAAACTGCATATCATCAAGCACCTGTCAGATAGGATGACAACTTGGATACTTAAGATATAAATCAGACAACAAGCACACATCTACAACTAATAACATATATCCACCTCCAATGCCAGATATCACATCATGGAGTGAAGTTACACTGCCAAGATATGGTAACTGCACAAGACTAGATCTGGTCATGTACACTCACCAAGACGTGTGATGAATGTGTATAAGCAATATAACTACTATCCTTTTTATGTGTTATCAGAAAAGGATTTCCCTCCTTTAAAGGGAAAAGGGGGTTTGTTGTACTGTGGCACAGATTCTAGACTGCACAGGCACTGTATTCTTTAAATGTTGCATGACATCACAGTATAAAATATTAGTATCAAAAGCAACCTATCAAGGCGAAATAGTTCTGTAGGACAAATAAAATATTATGATTTACTTTAGACCCTTTACGCAATTGGTTGCTCCTGGATATTCTGTCAGTTCAGGTGGCTGGACAGCTGGTTTTCAATACAGTGATACCAACAGGATGGTTTCAATTCCCACACTGACACCAGCCGAGGTTACCAGGAGCCTCTCCATTGTAATCTCTCCCCTTGCTTGAGACGTAGTGACCCTCAGGTTAAACCAACACCAATTCACTCCCTTGCTCGCAGACTCTCTTCCCTCTCCTCCACCCCTTCCCGTCCCTCGTATGAGGTGACTTGACATTTTATTCCGGTATAACGGCGTCCATCTCGCCTTCAGTCACTTCCTCTGTCGTGGTATCAGTAGAGTAAGTCATTCTTGTACAGTAACATAAGTAAGCCCAGACCTCAGACTGTGTGTAAATCTATGATGATGTAACCTTGTGAAAAGTCACTGTTGTAAGTTGATTTCAAGATATCTGACTCCAGTATGTGTTAATGTGTGTTTAAATGTTGAAGGCAACAAAACCATCTCAACTGCAGTGGGCATTTCCAAAGTATTGACACAGTCCTGTTCTCTGATTTTGTAATGTTTTGATACTAGTTCTTTTGGAGTTGTATAAAATTTGAGCTATAATTTATCATTTATCTTTGAGATTTGTTTCTTTCCTGTTTGGCATACCTGTTTAGTCATTACTGCTTACGTTTGTTTTATTCTGGTTTGCACAGTAAAGATTCTTATGCATTTTTCTAATTGTGGACTGCTGTCACTTATTTTCTTACTATTCGTTCTTCCATGTGTTATATTCTTGAAATTATTATAGTCAATTCATCCAGATCCTTGCAGTTGGCTTATACAGTATTTTGATACCTGGGAGTCATCACAGTTTACACTGTAGTGTGTGGAGAAAAGAGGTCAATTTTTCAGAAATAAACAAGTCCATGTTTAACTTGAAAATTAGAGGCCACATTCTATACCTTAATTGTAAATGATTTACAATGACCGTATTCTAAATGTGTTACCCATTAAACAATAGATTAGAATGTTGGTGTAACAAGAAAATCACGTTGGTTTTCCCCAAATCCCTGCTCTTGTCTTTTAGCACATTGCACAGCCGCCTGCGAAATGATCAGTCTCAACTCAAAGAAGAAATGGAGGCCATTAAAAGGGAGAACACCCAGTTGCTACGGGAACACAATCACGTTCAACAGACCTGTGAGGAGTTGAAGAGGCTCCATGAGGAGGATCAGAAGGAGATCACTGATCTACGCAGTCAGCAGCAACAGGTAGGTATTGAGCATATGATGAAGCATATTTTCCTGAATTGTGTGACTAAAGCTGTCTCTCAGCTATCATCAATCATACTGAGTTACATTTCAGAACTGTTCAGATGTTCCGTCTTCGATTTTGTTTGAAATTTCTCCTGTTTTGCATGCGATAACTGTGAATAAGAACAATGGCAGGGGCCAACGCAGTGCCACATAAAAGATGCAGTACATATGACCCCACCACACTGTCTTGTATCTGTAAAATCTTCCTTACTGTCCTGTTTTGACGACATCACTTTGATAAATTGTTATGATCTCTGTACCTTAATTAGTTTGTACAGTTTTGGATTACTTATTACTTTGGTTAGACCCACGGCATGCAACACTCATACCTATCATGTTCTTCCAGTTCTGAGGAAGTGTCACTAGACCCAAAACGTTAACTCCGATTGTTCTTCACAGATGCTGCCAAACCTGCTGAGTTTTTCCAGCAACTTCTGTTTTTGTTCCTGATTTACAGCATTTGTGGTTCTTTTGGTTTATGTTATTCCAGTCATTCGGTTTGTCTCCAGCACCACCTTATTTTTAATTTTTTATAATTATCTCTCTGCCTCATTTAATCGGATTACAGGTCATTCCTTAGCTTATTATTCAGCTGTTGACATTTTACTAACACCGTCTAATACTTGATCACCTGCAGAGACTTATTATTCAACACTCCACTCACACCATTTGTATGATCTTTTGGTCTCTTTGCCCATAAATTCTGTGTCCCTCTCTCACTTCACCTGAGGAAGGGACTTTGCTCCGAAAGCTTGTGATATCAAATAAACCTGTTGGACGATACCGTTGTGTTGTGTGACTTCTGATAAACGGGATGGGAAGGGGTCCTGCATGGGATTCTTATTTGTGAACAAAAACAGAAGTTGCTGGAAAGGTTCAGCAGGTCTGGCAGCATCTGTGAGGAACAATCAGAGTTAACGGTTAGTGTCCAGTGACCCTTCCTCAGAACTGGAATAACATGACTGGAATTACCACTGTTACCAAGTAATGAGGCACAGCCAGAAGGCTATAATAAGACCTCAGATACAATCTTTTGGAGCATTGAAGAATTATTGATCTGTGCTATGGAGTATCTTAATGTTTCGGGTCCAGTGACCCCACCTCAACTGAAATTGTAAGTCTGATTTTTCTTCACAGATGCTGCCAGACATGCTGACCTTTTCCAGCAACTTATGATTTTGTTCTTGATTTACAGCATCCGCAGTTCTTTTGGTTTTTAGGGGATTCTTATTCTTTGGTTGCCAGTAATCACCACTGTTACCAAGTAATAAGGCACAGCCAACAGGCCATAATAAGACCTCAGATACAATCTTTTGGAGCACTGAAAAGTTATTCATCTTTTCTGTGGAGTATCTTAATGTTTGTTGTGTTTCTATGCTGAGCATGCTGAGTAAGACTGCAAAATGGGAACCTATGGGAGGGCCTAGGGAGTGCAGCAGTGAAAGATGCTGAAAGGACTAACATATCTTGAAGTGCACTAGATTTCATTTTACATTTTTGCCTTTGCTATTATAAAACAAACGCAATGCATCAAAACAATATAGGAAATCTTTGGTTACACGTAATTTCCATTGCAGCTGTTAACTAAGGTACTTTGAAAGATCTGCAATTTCTATATTATGAAATTCATAGCTCTCAAGTCCACTTTTCCACAAGGTTTACCTGTTGAAAACTGCTGAATGAGTAGCTCGAGAATTTATTTTTGAGAATTTGACCGCATTCAAGCTGCATTCGGAGAGATTTTGTTTCAATAGTTATAACATGGGATTTCTTCATTTATGTGATGATTGACTGCATGGTTTATTATTTGTCATTTGTAAATGCAATCCCAGTTAGAGCACAGTGAAATGAGCGTAAGCTGCATTTTGGGAGTTGCAGTGAATCAGAGTGACGCTGTTCATTTCTTGCGCAACGTGACAGTGATGTAATCTGAAAATCTGAAACCTGTAACAGGTTAAGGTGGGAGTGATTCCAAAAATTGCAGAAAATGGTAAGAGAGGTAACACCAGGATCTGAGGATACTACAGGTAGGAGCGATAAGATAGTGGGTATAGGATCTGGCGCATAAAAGGCTGCTGCTGGAACATGTGAATAAAATTGAAAATAGAAGGTCTGCAGAGATCAGGACCATCATCAAACAAGGGGGTGGTGAACCTAGCAGAGCGTGAGATTGGTATGGAAAATCTTGCAATAAGTAAGTCACGGAAAGAAATTTGGCAAATTTTTCTATCTGAATACGGTGAAGGTGAAGCATGTTCTGAATAGGAGATGAGTATATCGGAGTACTTGGTAATATCATTGGACTAGTAATCCAGAGACACAGGCTAAAGCTCTGTGGACATGGTTTGAATTCCACTGTGTGGAAAATTTGAAATTATTTTTTAAAAATTCTCTAACTAAAAGCTAGGTGGTGCATTGTAACTTTTGTTGGTTGTCATAAAAATGCATGTGGCTGACTAAGAGAGGGAACAAAATATGTTGTCTTCACCTGGTCTGACCTACATATTTAACTTGATATTGTTGAACATTATCCGCCTGCTGAAATATCAATTCAAAGGCAGTTAAGGATGGGCAATAAATGCTAGAGCAGCCAATAATGTCCACATCTTGTGAATGAAGAAACAAAAATTAATTTTATCTCAAAGCCATATTTGTTAAGAGCATTATGCTAAATGGTTCAAATACCTCTGGTATTAATGTATGAGAGAGAGGAAGGCATCTATCAGCAACAATAGGCAAGATTTCTTGAGCATATTTCTCACGTGGAAGAATCAATAGGGGTTATAGTTTATAAATAAGGGAATCCCTTGCTATCAGTATCCTGAGGGCTGACCAGAACCTGAATTGGACTAACCATATAAATACTGTGGCAACAAGTTCAAGTCAGAGGTTTGGAATCCTACGGCAAGTAATTCACCGCCTGACTCCTCGTAGCTTGTATGTCTTGTTTACAAGGCACAAGTTGGGAGTGTGATAGAATGCTCCCTGCTTGCCTGGATGAGTGCAGCTTCAAAAATACTCAAACTAACACCATCCAGAGCAAAGCAGCCTACTTGATTGTCACCACAACCACGAACATTCATTCACTCCTTCTACTCAGCAGTTGTGAGTACCATCTGCAAGATGCACTGCAGCAATTTTCCAAGCCTCCTTAGACAGCACCTTCTGAATCCCTGACCACCACCATCAAGGATGCATGGGAACCTGCAAGTTCCTCTCCAAGCCACTTACCATCTTGTCTTGGAAACATATTGCCATACCTTTGCTGTTGCTGGGTCAAAACCTTGGAACTCCCTCCCTAATGGCATTTTTGACCTACAATAGGGACTGTAATAATTCAAGAAGGCAGCTCACCGCCATCTTCTCAAGGGCAGCTAGGGATGGGCAATGAATGCTGGCTCAGCTAGCAATGTCTACATCCATGAATGAAGTTTTAACAAGTGCAGGAGATGCAATAGCTGCCCTATTACCACCTCCTCCCACAATTATCCTTGCTGCATTTGAGCAATATTGCTTCCTTGGCCAACAGCACTGAAAATTATTGTGTACAAATTGGCCACCAGAATTTTTCATGGCATTTCACAAAGTACTTTGATTGTGGAATGCCACTTTTTGAAAGCATAATAAAGCATTGTGCAAATGCATCTTCTTTCTTTGCTTCACAAAAACAATAAATTTACCAAAATATGCCTCTGGTACATGATGATGTTCGACCCTAGCTGATGATAATACTAGATAAGTCAAATCTTAGCATGAAATCTGGCTTGATAAACTATATGTTTTATTTTCACAGTTTAGACTACCACGGTGGTCAGACACTGAGTATATTTGCGCAAGGATGCCAATGTTCTTTTAACAAAAGAGCACAGGTTCATTACACAAATTTGAAAAAGCCTAAGCTTTTTATATGTTCAAATATGGCAATTTAGAAAGATGTTAACACGAATGGCAAAAAGAAAGATTCAGCCTTTTTCCCAAAATGTCCTTTATGGACACAACCCCAGTAAGGTAGCACTCCTTAACTCTTTAAGATCTTACTAACCTGACAATTGTTGCAAGCATTTCTTTTTGATAATTTTCTATATACACACCAGATGTGATTCTCTGTATTACTGTCGCACTGTGATAAACAGGCACCAGCCACCTCACTGTCTTTTCCAAATGAATTTTAAGAAAAGCCCTATCTACTTAAATTGCTAAATCAGTTTTAAGACTTCTTTCACACTCTGAAACCCTGTGATTCCAGGCGGTGTTATTACTGGACACATCAGATTCTAGATTGAAATCAGGCTTGGTAAATCATATTTTGTTCTGTTTTATTTAACCAGTTAATATTTTACGGAAACGCAAGCATGTAATACTGCAAACTTGCTTTTAACAATAAAATAGAAGTTTATTATGGAAAAGGAAAAAAGATAAACCAAACTATTCACATATAATTTGGAAAATTTTGAAACACTGTAAAAAATAGAATCATGTATGTCCCAGCATCATTATCTTAAATACTATAGAGAGTTCTCTTCTCTATTACATCTGTAGATTTAACTTAACTGTTCCCTCCGATTCCTCGTCTTGAAAGTTTGGTAGCCTCTTCCTTGATTAGTCACACCACTGATCTTAAACTTCCTGAATTTCACATAACCCCTTCGGGGACCGAACCAAACATTACTTGTCTGGAACTTTCAAACTTGAATCATTAGGCAGAAGTAACCTATTTCCTAGCAATCATAGGAATTATGTTTCAAGGAGAAAATGTTTGAAATGTATAACTTTCACCAGGAATCCTGCAATCTGTAAAACAATAACTTTCCCTTAAGCAAAAAAAAGACTCTAGAACCATCCAAACTGAAAGCAGGCTATGCTAACGTTTACTCTGTCTGCTTGTAAAACTCTCCCAACGCGAACAAATCCTGATTATCACCCATCCTTCTTACCTACCTTGGCTCCAGAAATACTGGCAATTTTGTTGTTAAGCACTTTATACACAAAACCAAAACCTACATGCCACTAGTTCAAAGTCCAAACTTGAAAATAAATGATATCAATGTAACCATAAATATAAACCTTACTTCACAACTGCCACAAACTAAACTGCTTTTCTGCTAGTATGAAAGTGTTCTTCTCATTTGAAATCTGATTGTGACCCTAAGTCTAACTATCTGTATGTCATAAAAATTTAACTTTGTAAACATTTCATCAGTAAATTCCCCAGCTAGTTTATCTAGTTTTACATGCTTTCTTGGAAATGATGTCAAAAATGATCTTTTGGTGCCTTTTAAGAAGAAAGCAAGTTGCATTCAGAGAACTCAAACCTGATACTATTTTTCCTCCACTTTGAAATCATTTTTCTGAAATTATAACAATAAACTATCAGTCCTTTTCACAACATTGATAATTCAGGATAAGGTGTTTTTAACAAGGGATAGTTTAACTTTTTTACTTGCATCCAAAGCATGTTTCATGAAGAGACAAAAAAATAGTAAGATTGGGGAAGTTCCATTATTTCCAGTATCAGTAAGGTGTTACAATATGATAACCTTGTGTTACATTAGGTTTGCTATATTGCAATGACGGATGAATTGTAGTTATGCTTAGATTGAGTTAACTGTGTAGACTGTTTAAAAAGAAAAAAAAAAATCTCGATTTCATAGCACATTGCTGTGGGAGATTTCCTTGTATTCCTTTATCCTACTGCAGCCAAACTATACTTTGCAAAAACTAAATGTTGTGATCTATCAACCCAGCTTCATGAAAAGGCTTTATTTTGCAGTGGTTTTATATATGTGCCAGAGACTGCCAAGTTTATCCACTTGAGTATTCAGTAGAATCCTGCTCTTTGTAAAAGAAATTGAATAATTCAATACGCCATTTTTTGTAGAAGCTCAATAAAAGGAGAAAGAATAGATTTGCTTTCTGTAGAGTGTCGGGGAAGATCTGCACACAATGAGCAATGCATTAATTCTAAATCACTCTTCTTTTATAGTCTGATTTATCAAAATGTAACTATCCTGTAAATAATTCAGTAGAGAATGGTGCTCATTCTTTAATAATATTATACATGAAGTATCGTTTTGTTAAAATCCTAAAATTTCAGTCTGTACAGATTTGTTTTTGACTTTTTAGTGACTTTTAATTTTTTTAAAGTTTTCTTTTTTATGATACCCTTGTGTGCAACACAATTTCTCAGTTTAAAAAAAAGGTTTGGACATAATTTTCCATCGAGATTCTAGGAGAGTTGTGAGGATGAGTATTATTGATTCTCTCATTTTGTTCTCTTCCCACATTTCCTCTCCCCCTCATACATCCAGATTCCACCTCAGTAGCAAACCAAGAATTCTTTTCCAAAGATGATTTGCTGCTTGAAATTATCTCCCTAGAATATTTTTGTCATCCCATTTCTTGACCTTCAGCTTGTTCAATTTTCCAGTGCTTACCTTATTTTGTTACTTGATTTCAGTAGAAGATAATTGCTTGGAACAACTGGAAATTCTTAGCTTGTTACTAGATGAGGACAGGAGGCACTGAACTGACAAAGTGGGAGAATGTTTTGAAACTAGGCAGGCTATGGGAGTGGAAAACGCATCTGCGAATTGTGGAAATGTGAAGAGGAAGCAAAACTCCTCTGTAGAGAGGTTAGAGAATGTATGTGAATAGAGAAATAATAATCTGATTCATATGCCAAATGTCGAATAAAACAGTTTTTTTTCTGTCTGAGTGATGAAATAAATGCATATTTTAAATTGTGCCAAAACATATTTTTAAAGTGATTATTAAAACCTTTTTATTGAGCGCGTGCTTCTGGACTCAATGGGAAAGGCACAGGCTGTTTGACATGGGGTTGGTAGCACAATATTTGGGAGAAATGCATATTATACTCTATTTACTGCTTGCATTCTTCATTCAGCTTGAATTCAGGAGTCACTTTATGGCAGTAGTAGATTATGAATCTGAGTCCTACGAACATGCCACCCCGTAGTTGTTTCATGAGCAGGAATTTCCAAGCGGAAAACCAGATAAATCATTGCAAAATTTTTTTCTTCTAAAGTTGTTAATCATTTTACTTTATAAATTCATTGATTTGAAATTTGCACCAAGCGTATGCTTCCAGTCCAACTTGCTTGCTGCATTGAAATCCACGCTAAGTCACTCCATGACTACCCATTGAAAACATATGGGATTGCTATTTCAAACCAGTCCAGAAACCAATCTGGCCCATATAAATTTGGAACTGTTACTATCCACTGGGGATGTACAGTGATAACTAGCAGGGGGGAAGCTATGAGTATGCAGATCTCTCTGCAACTAGCAAAATTGAAAGATATGGAATCAGATTCTTGTATGAATGATTTTGCTTTTCTTTCATTACATGTAAACTCTGCATTTGAACATTGGGGCTTTCTGAATCCCAGATGCTGCCTATTCCAAACAAGCAGTTTTTACAAGGTGTAATTATGTCCCTTGGATTGTTAAATTAATTAGAGCAGAAGGAAATGTAAGGGTGATTATTCTCTGCATTACACTTGCATGAATACAATGATTTTTTTTGAAAACCCATCAGTGATTAAATGCTTTTCTCCAATTGTCATTAATGGTCAAGCTGTTGTAAATGCGCTGAATTAAATAAAAAGTTTTAATTGATGTTTTGCAACTTATTTGTAGAAAATTAAATAGGGGAAAAACTATTGCCTTTAAAGCAGACTGTTAGTGAAGTCTGCTGCTTTTGTTTCTGATAGTGATGCATCAGCTTTTTTTTTAAAAGGATCTTCAGATAGATGACTTTCCCCTTCTGGCCTGAGACACTTAAAGGCCAAGGGAGTGATTGAATAAAGCCTGCTTATTCAGGTTCATAGCTTCTATTCATGTAGGACAATGCTACTTGTTTGATGAATGCTTTTTAAGTTCAGATTAGAAAAAAAAAGCCCTTGCAAATTGAATGAAGTGAACATTTTGGAACTATATATAAACATTTAGTTGACACATCTCCAAGGGGGGAGATTTTATAGAAAAGTTCATGGTTTGGAAAGAAAGAACTGAAGCAATGATGCGGCAAAGGTTCTTGGAAATGTTAAGACCGTGGTTCATTTGATGCAAGAAAGAGCTTAGTTTGTAAAACCAGCCACTGTATGTCAAAATAAGCAGCAGTGTTTGTAGAGCTGACTTTATTCGGCTGAAAAGAAATTCCTGAACTCCAAGTTAAAGCTAAACTTTCAGAATCAAAACCAGAGTTTGTGTAAACAGAGTAACCACTTGATAGGCGTGGAAGTCAAAGGCCACTGTGGTTGACACAAGTAAAGTTTTGTCGTTCTAAAGTTTGTTTATAACATTTCGGAAGTTTCTGAAATTACAGGACCATTTAAGTTTCATAGAGCTTAATATGTGCAAGTTAGATTTTTTTCCAGTATGGCTTAATGTGAATTAAATATGACCAAATATGAATATATTTTATAACTCCTTAATTCGCACATGAAGAACTCATTTCTCAGAAGTATAAGCTAAATATCTTATGTGAAACCAAGTATTTTAATAATTTGCAGTGGATTATTTAGAAATTGGTTCTTTTTGATGCCAAGCAAAGCTTCATACATTACCTTATTGATTCCTTTATAAAGTTTCTACCACGTGGAGTTAGTTAATCTTGGTCAGTGTTTTGTAATGAAATAAGTAATGTTTGCTTACTTGTATTACTACATAGCATATTTCCATAGTAAGCACACAAACTAGTGAGCAGTTTGTTGTATATCCATAAAACTCAGGAGCAGAAGTAGGCTATTCAATCCATCAGGTCTGCTCGCCCATTCACGGAGATAATGATTGATCTGATAATTATCAGCACTATTTTCCTGTCTTTTCCCCATGATCTTTAATCCCCTTACTGATCAAAAATCTGTATCTCAGCCTTTAATATACTTAATCACCCAGCCTCTATAGCTGTCTGCAGTCACGAATTCAACAGGTTCACAAGCCGGACCTACTCATCTTCTCCTCATAATAAATCTCTCCATGCCCAGGATCAACCAAGTGAACTTTCTCTAGACTGCCTCCAATTCAAGCATAGCCTCCTTTAGATAAGGGGGACCAAAACTGTTCAGTGTTCTCGGTCTAGTCTGTCTAGAGGCTTGTATAGTTTGAGCAATACTTCCCTATTTTATACTCCATTCCTTGTATGAGGACCCTCCCAAATCCCTCCTGTAATCTTTTTTCATTTCAATAATATTCAGATCATGTATTCTTCCTGACAAGATGCATAACTTTGTTTCCTCACATTAATGTTCTATGTACCAAGATTTTGACCGTTCAGTTAACCCATCAATATTCCTCTGCAGACTCAGTGTGTGATCATCACTACTTGCCTTTCCACTAGTTTTATGTAATCTGCAAACTTGATACATTCACCTCCCTCATCCAAGTCATGAATATACGTTGCTGGGGCAAGAATTATTTACAATAAACCCTGTAGCTCTCCATTAGTTACAGATTGCCAAGCTGAAAATGCCCCTTTTATCTTAACTCTCTGTCTTCTATTAGTTAGCCAATCCTCTATCCATGCAATTATATTTTTCTGTTTAGGACATCATGCTGACTCTGCTTGCTTTAAATTATGTATTGTTAACTGTTTTGCTATTACCTCCTTTATAATAAATTTTATCATTGTCCCAATGTCATATGCTGAGCTATCTGACCTATATTTAACTATTTTTTGGGCTTTATACGCGTGTTACGTTATTAGTTTTCTAATCCTTCAGGATTTTTCCAGAATCTAAGAAGTCTTGGAAGATTGCGAATGATGTATCCACTACTTTTATAGCTGGTCCTTTCATGTCGCAGAATATAACCCACCAGGTCCAGAGAGCTTATAGGTTTGAGAGCTTGTATGTGTTCTCTGGTGATAGTTATTATATTCAATTTGTTGTCTCTTCCCACAACCCCTGCTTTTGCCCCTTGAATAATAAGTATTTTTGGAATGCTACTAGTGTCTTTTATTGTGAAGACTGATGTAAAATATTTATTCAAGTCCTCTGCCATTTCCTGATTTCTCTTTGTTATTTCCCCAGTCTCATTCTTTAAGGAGCCCCTACAATCACTTTGACCTCTTACTTCCTTTTGTAAGAAACTCTGACTGTATGTTTTCATATTGCTTGCTGCTGTACCCTCAAATTTTATTTTTGTCCTGTTTACTGTTTTTTTGGTGATCCTTTGTTCATTTTTTTGAAACTTTCCCAATTCTCTGTCTTACCACTAATCTTTGCCACATTGCATTTGCCACATCTCTTGGGCTTAAATAAACCATTGTATAGTGTGTTTCTATAGTGACCATAGACTAGCCAGCAGATTGCTGTATCTCCATGATCTTCCACTATGTGTTGAGAAATGAACATTCATTGCTATGCCATTGGAAGACTTCTACCAAAGTAATGTGCCTCAGCACTGTATAGGGAAGCCACGGAGCCAATGTATTCTTTTAATTTCCTGAGCTTTAGAATCCATTAAATAGCTAGAAGTTATTTACTATCCAATATATAAGCTAAGTGCTAACATCTGGCTACATTTAAATTCAATGTGATATAACTATTTATATGGACAAATGATAATTTTGATGATTAAAAGTTTGGATATTGTTCTCTGTCATAATTCCTCCCAAGCCTACTGTGCATAGGTTTTTTGGCTTTCAGATATTGGTCTGATCTTACACAGCCCATTTAGTTACTATTGGGATAAACCAAGCAAAAATGCTTGTTACAAAATTAATAATTTCCAATTATATTTTGGCTCAGTGCTGTGCAACTTTAGTTTTTATTTCTACAGCATAGTCCATCTTTATTCCCAAATATATCTAAAACATTGTCAACTATTGCAATTTATTAACCAGCAAGTATTTAAGACAAAGCTCTCTCTTCTAGCTAGCCAGTATTTTTGTATATAATCATAGAATCCTTACAGTGTGGAAGCAGGCCATTCGGCCCAAAAGGTCCATCCCACCTAATCCACCCCCTACCCTGTCCCTGTAACCCTGCTGGCCCACCTAGTCTGCACATCCCTGGACACTGTGGGCAATTTAGCATGGCCAATCCACCTAACCTGCACATCTTTGGACTGTGGGAGGAAACCTATGCAAACACGGGGAGAAAGTGCAAACTCCACACAGACAGACGCCCGAGTCTGGAATCGAACCTCGATCTCTGGTGCTGAGGCAGCAGTATTAACCACTGAACCACTGTACCAGCCAGAGTGTGAACAACTCTTCTCAATTCCTACAGATTGCAATTTTATTTGATTTTAATTTCCGACTTTCTGGTTTTAGTAGGATTTGCTGATCAGACCTGATAAAACATCATCTACGTGTTCCTTTCCTTTTGGAATGGGGCTTGATATTCTCAATAGATCTTGTGTACCTTTAGCAAGGTGATGTGTGACTGGTGTGTCTTGACATTCAGCATTACAATGAAAAAATAAATTTGCATTTATATACTACTTCATTGTATGTCAAGAAGGGTCTGAAAACTTCACTTAAGTTTTGTCAAACTTTTTTTGTAGTTTAAAGTGGTATAAATTTTGCATATACCAAAGTCTCAAATAGTATATTCGATTTGATTTATTATTGTCATGTGTACTGAGATGCAGTGAGAAATATTGTTTTGCAAGCTAACCAAGCAATCATAGCTTACATAAGTACATCAGGTTAATAAGAACAGAATGCAGAATATAATGCCACAGCTACAGAGAAGGTACAGAGAAAGATCAGTTTGAATCTATGAGAAGTCCGTTCATAAGTCTGATAACGGCGTGGAAGACGCTGTTCTTAAATCTGTTGGAATGTGGTTTTCAAGCTTTTGTATCTTTTGCCTGGTGGAAGAGGGTAGAAAGAATATAACCGTGGTGGGAGGGGTCTTTGATTATGTTGGCTGTTTTCCAGAGGCAGAAGGAAGTATAGACAAAGTCAATGGAATGAAGAAAGAACCAGTTAATCTGTTTTTGATG